ATTCTGTGTAAACAGCACATGATCATGTCAGGGTCATAGATGTGTATTTATCATAGAACCCCTGTTTATTATTGGTTTTATAAAGTGTAGAGAAACAGTAATAAGTTGGAATGGGAGATTTGTTCCACTTTGTGCCGCATTTGGCTCGTGGGCCTTAGTTTGGACACACATGTTGTGGAGGTGTCTTCAAAAAAGTCTACAGTTTGAAAAGTAACATTCGCTTTAAGGAGTAACATATGTAAACTGTTTTCCTGCAACATTTGTATACAGTATGTATGAGACATTAATGAAACCAAGCAGTCAATTAATGGACCTATGTATGAAATAGTGATGATGCGGTTTCACTGTAGATCAATATTTGCTGCTGCAAATGTATCTATATGTATTATGTAGTATTTTTATGTACAGTATGTAATACATTTGAACTCCAAACAATAACCGTTGTTAACAATAATAACAATAATAGCACTAGAATAACCTGTGCGTACCTGTGAGAGAAAAGTGTTGTATGTTTGACCCTTGGATATAAGGGCAATGGCCGAAAGGCTCAGGCCAATATTTGGGCAGGTGTTCTGTCGAGTTGTGCTGCCTCAGCTGTTTATGATGTAATGCAAACCCGTACACGCGCGTTTCACAGCAGCCAAAACAACCAAGATGGCGGACATAAGGTCCGCAAATTGTATAAGAAGTTTAAATATGAACGAATAAAGACACAAATGTCACTTTTAATGCAGTTTGAGGCGAGATGTTGATGGTTTCATGGAGTGATGTGTGGATTTTAAGAGTAAAAGTTTAGTGTAAAGTTTGGTTTAAGCATCAACTTCTCCTGTGAAACCACATTGCTGCTGTGTGATAGCAGTCCTCTTGACAGCTAATGGCTTACAACTTAGATTTTGGTTAATATTTCCATTATCAACCTGACAGACCAGTTGTAAGCTATTAGTTGGCGAGTTAGTCACAGGACGCGTCATCGGCCTACGTCAGTAAAATGGCGTATACCGCGGTTCAACTCGAGAAGAGAACAGCTATCAACACAGTAGTAGTGTGGCTTCACAGGAGCAGGTATATTACCAGGGTTTTTTAAAACCCGGTAGTATGCCCGGGCCATCAAGAAGGCCAAAATGCCTGGGCCATTTTTTTTTTTTTTTTTTTGGTCTCAGTCTAGCCCTGTCTCTGGGTCCCTTTCCTCACCTTGGTTCTCTCGGCCTCACTCGTCACTCTGGATTTTCCAAAACATCCAACTCCAGGAACTCATCATACAGCTCCAGCACCCAGTTTAGACTCTCAGCTTTGGAACACACAGAGCACATTCTATTCAGATCAAAATATCCCTTCTTTTCATTTATGTTTTCTAACACCATGGAGTTCTTTATGTTGTAGTTTATACTTCTGACCCACGAGGACAAACAACCATGTATATTTGAACAGATATATTTTTTGTAATTTTATCAAAGCCTATTAAAAACTATTAAACAGCCAATCAGCTCAAAGCAAATACATAATGACGTACTGTATATCTGCTTATTTTTCGACTGCCATCTTTGAGTTCTCTCTCTCTCTGGATCCGTGTGCACTGAGCTGAGCCCACTGTTTTATCAGCGACACACCGTAGAAATTATTCTTTTCTCAACCTGAATAACACAATGATCCACTTTAACAGAACGTTTTGTCACTTCCACCCATTTTCTTCCCCTTAATCCAGTTCTGGGTCGGGGGGTGGCAGTCAGAGCTGCACCCAATTCACATAGCACCAGCCCCTCACTGATCCTCCTGCAGGTGGTGAGTCCACAGGAGCCTTGATCTTTTTTCAAAGGGGGCTTCAGGCAAAGTAGAATTAAGTGTCTTGCCCAAGGACACAACGACAGCAGACATCACATAAAAAATGTTAAACACACGGTTTTAACATGTACTGAAATGACTAGTAATCAATACATCTGTCTTTAGTTTGGTTTCAGCATCAAAAGAACTGCATTAAAACAATAACTACAGGTCCAAAGTGTTCATGAGGTATATGTGGAAGGAGCTTCTTCTTAGGTCTTGCCCTAATAGAGATATATTCTTATTGATACAAGAGTATTTCTTTTGGGTAGAGTGGTTAGCAATCTCGCTTCTCAGCAATAAGATCCTGAGTTTGATGGTGAGAGACAAACACCCACAACAAGTGCTTTGTGACTCTGGTCTGTGAAAGGCGCTATATAAATAAAGATTACTTACTTATGTTTGTATGTATTTAGCTAGCTAGCTAGTTGTTATCACTATTAATACTGTAATGTTTGGTTGTATACTACGGTTGGACATGGGATTTTCCTGGACAGACCCAAGATCAGAACCAAAGTCAAGAAGGATGCTGAACATGACCCTCACTGTTTGGGGACGAGATGGAATCTCATTCTCCTCAGCAGCTCGTCCTCCTCAGCATCACCATGGCGACAGGATACACTTGTTCAAAGTCAAAATGAAGGTTTACTCCAGCAGGACGATCCCTCAGGAAATTTATCTGGTTCTTTCCATGTGAAAGTAATTAAAATGTTGTTACAAAGAACAACATCAGACAAAAATACAAAACCCAGGGGGGAGCAGCCGCAGCTAAATATACATATAAATACAACAGATACAATGATATATGTGCTTTATGTTTAATGTACTTGTATTAACACAGTCACACTTACTGCACTGCTTTGCTCTTTTGTCCTGGACAAACTTATCTTGTTCTTTATGAAAATCACCTAATATTGTCTGAAGGAAAATATTATAGAAATGTTTTTAAGGCCTGAGGATGTGGTTCTTCATAAAAGTCAAACTTACTTTATCCAAAATGTGACTTATATTTCCATCCTCTATGCATATCTTTATAGATCGTGCAGTTTCAATCACAGAATGTGACACTTTCTTGGACGCACTGCTGACAAAGCTATACAGGCATACAATATTAGCATATTGTGATAAAGTTCATTATATTCTGTAATGTACTCATAAACATTAGACTTTCATATATTTTAGATTCATCAAACACAACTGAAGCAGTGCAAGCCTTTTATTGTTTTAATATTGATGATTTTGGCAAAAAAAAGTAAAGAAAAACCTCAAAACATTATGAAAAGGTACTCTAAACGAGCCATTAACCTAATCATCTTAACTCTAAACACCTGCAGAAGATTCCTGAGGCTTTTTAAAAACTCCCGGACTGGTTCATTACTCAAAACTGCAATCATGCGTAAGACTGCCTGACTGCAGTCCATAAGGCCATCATTGACACCCTCAAGCTAGAGGGTAAGACACAGAAAGACATTTCTGAGCGAACAGGCTGTTCCCAGAGTGCTGTATCAAAGCACCTCAGTGGGAAGTCTGTGGGAAGGAAAAAGTGTGGCAGAAAACGCTGCACAACCAGAAGAGGTGACCAGACCTTGAGGAGGATAGTGGAGAAGGGCCGATTCCAGACCTTGGGGGACCTGCGGAAGCAGTGGACTGAGTCTGGAGTAGAAACATCCACAGCCATCGTGCACAGGCGTGTGCAGGAAATGGGCTACAGGTGCTGCATTCCCCAGGTCAAGCCACTTTTGAACAAGAAACAGCGGCAGAAGCGCCTGACCTGGGCTACAGAGAAGCAGCACTGGACTGTTGCTCAATGGTCCAAAAAGTACTTTTTTTGGATGAAAGGAAATTTTGCATGTCATTCGGAAATCAAGGTGCCAGAGTCTGGAGGAAGACTGGGGAGAAGGAAATGCCAAAATGCCTGAAGTCCAGTGTCAAGTACCCACAGTCAGTGATGGTATGGGGTGCCATGTCAGCTGCTGGTGGTGGTCCACTGTGTTTTATCAAAGGCAGGCTCAATGCAGCTGGCTATCAGGAGATTTTGGAGCACTTCATGCTTCCATCTGCTGAGAAGCCTTATGGAGATGAAGAATTCATTTTTCAGCACGACCTGGCACCTGCTTACAGTGCCAAAACCACTGGCTAATGGTTTTTTGACTGTGGGATTACTGTACTCAATTGGCCTGCCAACTCTCCTGACCTGAACCCCATAGAGTCTGTGGGATTTTGTGAAGAGGAAGTTGAGTCACCAGACCCAACACTGTGGATGAACTTAAGGCTGCTATTGAAGCATCCTGGGGCTCCATAACACCTCAGCAGTGCCACAGGCTGATTGCCTCCATGCCACGCCGCATTGAAGCAGTCATTTCTGGATTCCCGACCAAGTATTTAGTGCATAACTAAACATAATTATTTGAAGGTTGACTTTTTTTGTGTTAGAAATACTTTTATTTTATTGGTCGGATGAAACATGCTAATTTTTTGAGACAAGGATTTTTGGTTTTTCTTTCCTTTTTTGGCAAAATCATCAATATTTAAACAATAAAAGGCTAGAACTACTTCAGTTGTGTGTAATGAATCTAAAATATATGAACGTCTAATGTTTATCAGTACATTACAGAAAATAATGAACTTTATCACAATATTTTATCGCTAATTTTTTTAGACGGACCTGTACATAATCCTACAGAACAGAGGGTACAGGCAGCTGGAATAATGTATTTTTTATGCTGAACTGAAGTGTTAAAAACCTGAAACATTTGGCTTGTTGTAAAAGTGGATCAGGAGCATAGACTGTATATATTAAGTCGCGCTCATCTGTTGAATGTCAGTCATGTCGTTTACCTCAAAGTTGTCCCCACTTTCAACATTAGCAGCCTCTGTTTCGCTTTTATCTTGAAGGTTTATATACCCAGCAAAACTACCAATTTATTAAACATGCTAATTTATTCACGGATAATACAGATTTTAAAAGCTCAATATTATTAAAACTAGTAACGTTTTTCGCATAGATCCATGGTTTTTCGATAACCACTTCCGCAAAAATGAACTTTGGTCCTTCCCTTTTACCGTAGAGAAGTGTTTGCGTTGTCATGGTGATGAACGCGCTTGGCTTTAGCCTTTAGCCTGCTAGCATCCAGTTAGCATTCAACGCCGAAAGTTAAGATAAGTAAATATTCGTTAAAATCATGCATTTCTTTGATGTTGCCACACGCACAGACACACCATGGGTCTGTTATAATATCTCATACACGTCAGACTGTGGACTGACCCTGGGACGGACCCTGGGACTGACCCTGGGACTGACCCTGGGACGGACCCTGGGACTGACCCTGGGACTGACCCTGGGACGGACCCTGGGACTGACCCTGGGACTGACCATGGGACGGACCATGGGACTGACCCTGGGACTGACCCTGGGACGGACCCTGGGACTGACCATGGGACGGACCCTGGGACGGACCATGGGACTGACCATGGGACGGACCCTGGGACGGACCATGGGACGGACCCTGGGACGGACCATGGGACGGACCATGGGACGGACCATGGGACTGACCCTGGGACGGACCCTGGGACGGACCATGGGACGGACCCTGGGACGGACCATGGGACGGACCATGGGACTGACCCTGGGACTGACCCTGGGACTGACCATGGGACGGACCATGGGACTGACCCTGGGACTGACCATGGGACGGACCATGGGACTGACAAGGTCTCCAACCTTTATCTCCAGGAAAGCGACTAAATTATAAGCTTTATGCAGGTGAGAAAAAGCCAAGGCCTTGAAACAAAATGTATTCTATTGCACAAGCAGCTTTAGTCTTTATTACAGTACATTAATTTATCTTAATTTTTACTTTGCCTGACTTGCATTTTTGGGCTTTTTTAGTAGTCTCACTTCACATGCACATACAACTGATCTATTATAATGTATTATTTCACAAATAAGGGCATTTTGTATAGTTGTATAATGTAAAATAATTCAGCATATTTGCTTCTAAATCCTTTGGGAGCTACTGGTTGGACAGCCCTGGGCTTCAGTGATGTTAGTGATGGGTTATAACAGCTTTTATATCCCATCACTAACCCAGGACGTGACTGTACCTAACTTTAACATATAGTTTTTCTCTCATAAAGAATATTGTAAAAGTAAAATTTGAAACCATACAAATTAATAGCCCTTTCTTGTAGTGTGGTCCTTTGTTTTATTATCATTTTTTGATTATGATTATTGTGTTATTGTATCTATAGTTTTATGTATTTATTAAATCCTGTATACATATAACAGACTTGTAGTTACAAGTTATATCTAAATGTGTTACTTTTATCTTTGTGCTGCACTTTGGAAACTTGTTTTTTTAAGTGCCATATTAATAAAGTGAATTGAATTGTAACAAAGTAGCAAAAACAGGGGAAGACAGACAAAAGCAGACTGTAAATAAATGAGTATCAGATGCCATACCAGAAGCTGACAGCAGATGGCAGACGTGCGCTGTCAGATCCATGCGTTGTAGGCACTGAATCCTGTTGGATCGGGCTCGGCTACAGGCTAAGGCTAGCTTAGCAGATGTAAACTGTTTGGGGAGCAGTGGAGTGCTATTGTCGACCTGTCTCTCCGGGAATCACCGTATTCCCATATTTACCAAACAACGGAAACCATGTTGTTCGGGTGATTCCCTGCTGTGTGTCTGTGCGGACGCTGTCACAGAAGTTACAAACTATTTAAAAGTGCGTTTCTTTGACAGAGGAGTCGGTTCATGAAGATGCGAGTGCGTAACCTAAACCTGGGAGGGAGATAGTCCGATGAAAGGATCGTGTTCCCGGGGTTCTCCAGTTCAACTCCCAGGTAAGAGACACATCCTTTCGTGAGTCCACTTTTCTGTCTGTTTCGTTCTCTTCTCTTAACTAGTTTTGACAAGTCTCAGGTGTCTTGGGGAATAAACATCACAAACTCATTGAAAAGTGCGACCAGCGCGATAAGCTTTAATACAGCTCCGCCTGACTCAGCTCGGCTCCTCGGTTTGAAGGCTCGATCCACGGGAAGAGGAGGATTTCTTTTGTTTCCAACGACGATAAACTTGATCATAAAGTTGAAAGCGCCTTCTCGATGCTGTAACAACAGGTGCTAACAGGCTGTGTGGTGTTTGGGCGTGTGATTCTATGTAAACAGTGCATAAAACAAGCCTTTTCTAAACTAAACCAATGTCTTTATCTCTGATCATCAAAAAGTAAATTTTGTTTATCACTGGGAACACTGTAATCTTGTCGAAGCTGGGGACAGCATATGGGCATAGATCCAGTATGTATCTGACAGTAAAGTTATCTTAATCGCTATTGTTCTCTGTGATTATTTAAGTTGGCATGTGTGTATATGTTCTATGTTTTATCAGGATGTTTTGTTAACCCACTTTATCAGGGGCCTCGCAGCTGGAACAGACAGCAGAGCCAATGGTGTGTCAGCCTTAACTCTGCTGTATTTAAATCTTATGAAGACATTAGTCATTATTTCATTCATTCATTGTTGACAAGAAAAAAAATGTATAAATGCAAAGAGCTCAAAGAGAGTAGGCAGAAGTTGTCCTGACAGTAATTACTACCAATGTATTGTTAATGCATGGAACTAATGGATATTGAGTTTCAATGTTTACATTATCTTTGCAAAAGTTAATAGCAATTAGCTTTGTGAAACAAGATCATGAGGGCTGAATAGGTCATTGCTTCTGCTCTGGTGTGTGATATGACACTGTTTAGTAGAAAAAGCTCCACATTCAGATTTCAAATACATTTTGATTCCTCACAAACGACCACACGGAGCCTTTACCATCTCAAAAGTTATCACTATTGTGCCTTTTCTGAAAACACTGTTCTTAGTGGACTGCCCTGTCCTTTACACTTATCTCTGAGTGGTTCTTCTCTGATGCAGGAGGGTTCTGATGCAGTAGAGTCTGATCCAGAAGGGTCTAAGGACAGAGATGATCCAGGACAGTGGTCATCCCGCTCCCTGTCGTTTAGTCTAACTCCATCAGTAATTTATCACACCAAGACAGACGCAAAGTGTTTCCTTAAAAGCATTGCATACAGAGCACTTCACAGTAGAGCTGAGCCATCTGGGAAGGAAAAACTATATTTCTTCCCCCTCATATTGACCAGTCTCAACTTAAAATTAGATTTTATTATATATATGTTACTAATAATATGAGGGGGAGAAATATAATCTAATATTATATTAGAATATATGCTGGGATTAACACTTATGCACAATTAGGTCAAACACAGAGGACGGCTGTTGCTTGTCGTTTTTTTTGCATGATTTTGTGAAGATTGCATTTATCTTGTTTTAACGCAAAGGTTCAGGATAAAGTTTCTTCATTTGTACCTGTAGATGATAAATGTGTTATTGAAAACTGATCTCAACATTCGATTTGATTTTTCTTTTTATTCTTAAACACGGTAGACGGCTGTTGCTGGTCTGTTTATTTTGTTGCATAAATGTGTGAAACTTGCAAGATTCTTGAAGAGAGCTGGTCCCATACACACATATGTATGTGTCCCATACACACATATATACACACATACATGTATGTGTGTATATATGTGTGTATGGGACACATACATATGTCTATAGATAAGAAAACTCGTTTCCACCAGCTCTACTTTGCTCTATTCTACCGTACTCTAACCTACTCTACTCTACTCTACTCCACTCCACTCTACCCTTCTCTTCTCTACTCTACTCTACTCTACTCTACTCTACTCTACTCTACTCTACTCTACTCTACTCTACCCTTCTCTTCTCTTCTCTTCTCTTCTCTACTCTACTCTACTCCACTCTACCCTTCTCTACTCTACCAGACTCTCTTCTTAATCTTTTCTTTCCTTAACCTCTGCCTCTGGTTCAGGACCATGTGGTTACTATAGTTAACCATAACCTCTGCCTCTGGTTCAGGACCATGTGGTTACTATAGTTAACCATAACCTCTGCCTTTGGTTCAGGGCCATGGATGCAGGATACAGAGGAGAAGCTGGGACAGTGTGGCATGTGATGCAGCGTCCGGATGAACCGCGGAGTAAAGAGGACTTCAGACTCGTGGAGGTGTTCCTCAGTGGAGGAGCACCATGGGGCTTCACCCTGAGAGGAGGCCTGGAGCACCGAGAACCTCTGCTCATCACCAAGGTACGACTGTCACTGAACCTTCTCGGACTGAACCTTCTCGGACTGAACCCTCTCGGACTGAACCCTCTCGGACTGAACCTTCTCGGACTGGACCTTCTCGGACTGGACCTTCTCGAACTGGACCTTCTCGGACTGGACCTTCTCAGAATGGCCTCTTGTATGAACAGATGCTGTCTACACTGTGTGGATGTGTGTTTATGGTACATGCCTCGTGCAGCCACATTGGTTTGTGCTTCAACTGTTTTTTCTAAGAACTTCCATTTGTTTGCTCAAACTCCCTAACACCCAGAAGCGGAGAGTTAGTTTTCTTACCTAGAAACTCCTTCTACACTACACCAGGAGAGCCAAAGCTGGAGAGACCAGAGAGAGACCAGAGCGAGAGAGACCAGAGCGAGAACCAATGAGAACAGGCCACTGATTTGAATGGGCAGACGTCTTGGAGAGACCAGGGGCGGGATTTTCAGCCAATATTTCTCAGTTGCGTCACTGCAGATCTTGACATATTTCTTTACAAGGTGTGATTTCTCAAACACACGTAAACTGGCCATTTGGCAAAACATCTTTAACTTTCACCTTGGGGCCTTGGTTTATTTCCTCTGGCTGGAATTCTGGAGGTTGTCTGTGGTCCGTAGCAAAAAGTCAAAGATAGTTGTAATGTATATTGTTTCTTAACTACGATGGGGAAACTTATTATGGGCTGTTAATTTGAAACATGGAGTTATTTGGCTCGCTTTATGTCTTTGTTGGAAAATCTTTTCCCCACTCGTATTCAGACCTATTGTTACCCAAATTCTTAATGCAATCATTCGTGGTTTGTCTGTATGCAGCAGATTACATACAGACTGACGAGGCACGACTCATCACAATCAAAGTGAAGTTAGCAAATTGCAACAACCACTATTATTTATATTGCATAATTTCTTTGAAAAAACCAAATTACCTTGTTGCATATTCTAAAAATCTGCCTTTCCCTGTCTTTAGAGCTCAAGGATCGCTGCAGATGTCAGAAAGAGGCTAATAAGAGCGAAATAAAGTAGTATTTTTTTTCTTTTGAGTACATTTTGATTTGCTCAAGGAAAAGGGAAGGCAAGTCCAGTCTCTTACACAGTTTTATGCATAGGGATTTTTAAGGGACAGAATGCAAGATATTAATTTTAAATCACACACACACATACTACAGAGTTCGTACCATAAACTCCAGTAGGTGGATTGCAGGTTTTATATACAGGTGCGTTTAACAGTCAACTAAATTAATCAAGAAATTTAACTTCAAGAATGTGTTCAACTTTCAGAATGTCCTTGCTCCATAACAGAATTGTACTCTCAGTGGTTATCCGCAAGCCACAAATGACCTTTTCACCGCTGTTTCTTTAGAATGGCACAAGTTAAATATACAGGTTTTCTCCTGTGGCCTCACTGACCTGGCTGCAGAGTTCACCTAATTCTACCTGTATAAGTCGGCCCTCGCTGTCCCAGTGTGCACCAACCCAGGCTTCTGTCTAATCATTGACCATCGACCACACGGTGAATGTGGGGAAATGTGACGGGGGCTGTTTGCTTTTTTGATTCTCGGCCGTAGTTTCTGGCCGCTGGGTCAAAGTCCGGCTCCATGTGGTGAAACTGCATGAAGACTTTCTGCTCAGTTTCGGGTGATCACAGTTGTCTCGCTCTAGTCTCTGTGTCGAGGTTGGACGAGTTGGATTGAGTTTTGAAGTAGAATTCTTTCAGCAAATCAAGCTAGACTTGTGTCCAATGGTGAGTTACAATACTTTTTGCTATTGCTTTGAAATGTTTATGGGTTAAAACACATCTATCCTAGTACAGGATTCAGGAACAATATCTAATTCCTGAGTTATCTGCAGTTCATCCAGAGTGATCATGGGCCTCTTGGCTAC